CTGGATCTGGACATCCCTACTTGTGGGTCCATTTGGATAAAAGGTTGTAGATTTATTTCAGGGTTTGGAGCTTCGAAACTGGTTCATTTTTCTTAAATTGCCACTTTTTTGCGGCAAACTTTGAGCCAACTGAGCAGTTTGAAAGATGCTTAGATATTTGAGAGAGCGGTCCCTTTAAGGACAAACACCAGAGCACGCCCGCCTCTGATTGGCCCTTTCGCTGCAGGCCAGAAAGCGTCTGCAGTACGAGCTTAAACTGCCGATCTAAACTGCCTGTTAGGGCAAAGATAACAGCGTCTGCTGCTCAATGAGCCTAAAAAAATACCCCTCCCTTTAACCAAAATACCTTTAAACATCAGGCATTAATTTGTTATGTACTGTTATGTGTTGTATGTTTGTTATGAAAAATGCAGCTACAATCATTTAAATGTGTAATTTTTTCGTGTCACATAAATGGGACACTCTGAAGCTAAACTGTGGCTCTTTTGCTAAGTGCTGCTTTTTAACCGTAACGTCTTAATAACCGATGCAGAGCCTGCCTGAGCCTGCGTCATAAGCCACACACAAAGGGTTAAAGGGTCCAAGCTAACCTTCAGACCTGTGTGAGGAAGCAGAAGTCACCGGTAGTCAGAAGCTGAGACTTCTGGGGCCACTTTTACACATTTCCTTTGGGGTTTTTTCCCATAATCAGGCATGAAAATAAGTAGAACTTACATGTATCCACCATGACCAGAGTGTGGTCCTGTTCAACAGGACTCTCAGTAGGCTGAGTGACTTTAAAGGGGACATATAATGCAAAACCAAGTTTTAATAATTTGATTGTGTACATTTGGGACTGTGGAGGGCCTATCAGCAGGCAAAGTGTGAAAAAAAAATGACTCAGTCATGCTTTTGTGGGCCGCCTCAGTCTGAATCCAGGAGATAAATCAGGAGGTTTCAGGAGTGGGTAGTTTCTGACCTCATTAGCTCTAGCTCATTATAATATTCCAGCCTTTCACCTGCATGTTGCCCCCCCCCCCCTCAGCTTACTCCCCTATCTGTGGAGACGTCGTGGTAGCGTGAGCGTTAGCATGGTAGCGTTAGCATGGTAGCCTTAGCCGACGTGGGCACGCCTCCCGGAAGAAGTGGGTGGATTGCCTGTGTCTCATTTGCATTTAAAGAGACAGGCACTCCAAAGCGAGCGCACTGAACGGGGCTGTTTTGGGTTAGGGTTAGGGTTAGGCAGGAGGACTGAACTGCTATTGGGCTTCATCCTTATGGGATTTTGACCAAAGCTTGTCACAGACATTACATCACGACACCAGGGAACTAGCTTAACTTGTTGAAATAGGGTATAATATGTCTCCTTTAAAGTTATCTATCTACTTACTTAGTTTCCTTTGGGGTTTTTTCCTCCGATAATCAGGCATGAAGATAAGTTTAACTCACATGTATCCACGGTGACCAGGGTGTCGTCGATGTTCTCCTCCTCGTCCTCGGCGGGGGGCTGTGGGGTTCTGGACCTGTGTGGCGTTAGAGTATCAGCACTGGGTTTGTTCCTTTGGGCTTTGCACGGCTCTCAGGGGCCTCACCGCTTCTCCTCGCGGTGCTCGTAGTAGCTGTATCCCCGGCTCTCCTCGTACGGCCTCTTGCGGCTGTGGTTTCCCCCCCGATCGTCCTCCGACTTGACCGGCTCGGCCTGACCGGCGCCATCTTGGCTGGTGGCGTCCTGGCTGGTGGCGTCCTGGCTGGTGGTGTCCTGCTCGGCCCGTTGCTCCGCCCCCCGACTGTCCTGCTGCTTCTCCTCAGGAGGGTCGACTTCTTCCTTTTTGATGTCCACTTTGATTTCTAAAGTGATAAAGAAGCCGAGTGTAAACATTTTTCCCCCCATAAAGAGTAAAGGTCTACGGGCTAAGCTGGTCCCGATCCGATATCTGGATCGGATCGGCCGACAGGAGAAAATGCAGATCCAGACCCCAGATCCAGTTTTTTTAAAAGTCTGACCCAAAACAAGCATTAGCATTAGCATCTCCTAACCCACAAGTCTGTGTCCTAACCATTAAGTTGTTATCAGAGTAAATTCCTGTTCAACATGAGTCTGACAACTAAGTAAGTAGATAAATAACCTTAAACTTTAATACATGCTCTGATAGGTCGGGATCGGATCGGAAGTGCAAAAAGCTGGATCAGGACATCCCTAACCAGGACATATAAAAGAAAAAAAACTAACAGTGACTCATATTGGAGTTCAGGAACAGTTGGACCCCGTTTGGTTTCTGTCCTCACAAACTACAGAGGTGGCTTTAGACTCAAAACGCTTCAGGTTTGATTTCCATAGAACAAACTTTGTGGGACAGAAACGGGTCACAAATGAAACACACCTTCATAACCTGCAGAGTTTGAGGGGACACTGTGTGGAAGCGCTTTTCCAAGGGCTCCTGAACAGCAAATCAGGAGTTAGGAACTTTAAAACTTGCTCTGATAGGCCGGGATCGGGATCGGATCGGAAGTGCAAAAAGCTGGATCGGGACATCCCTAATATGTATCAAAGTTTAAAGTTATTTATTCTAGTTACTTAGTCGTCAGAGTCATGTTGAACGGGGATTTACTCTGATAACAACTTAATGGTTAGGACACAGACCTGTGGGTTACAGATGCTAATGCTAATGCTTGTGTGGCCTAACAAACACTGACCAGGAGATGACTCCACATCCTGGTTTTTAAAACACGAATCCACAGATGGCTCCAGTGAACAGAACACAGGCTGTTTGGTCGGTACCCACCCTGTCTGTCCTCCACGCTCTGCTCCAGCTCCTTGACCACGGGTTTGCTCTCCTCCTCGGACGTCAGGTTGGATGCCTGTATGTCGTCGTCCGCCGTGAAGTCCGGCGTGCCGCGGCCCGTGTCTGGGGCCGGCTGGGCTTCGTAGGGCTCGCCGTCCGCCTCCTCCTCCTCGTAATAGCCGCCCGAATCTCTCCCCTCGTCTTCCTCTTGGGGTGAATTACCTTCCCCTTCGTCGTCATCATCTTCCTCGCCCCCGCTAACGTCCTCGGCTGCCTCTGCGGAGAAAAGGAAAACCTTCAGTTTTCTAGCTTTGGGGTGAACCAATGCTTTAAACCAGCAAATCTTTATTTTATTTCCAGTTATTAGTTCATGGCAACTGTCTGTACAGTGTCTGTTACACTTTGATTTAGCAATATCTAACATCCTAACTCAAAATGTGGTCAGTTATGGCTCAGACTATTGCATACCCCACATTTTTTTGCACTTTATAGGCACTTTGTGTACTTTATCCCTTTTGAATATCACATCAAATGCATCTTAAAGACAGATATACCACGAGGACACTGAATAAAAGTAATTAACCACAAGGCAAACTGAATCATTTGGCCAGGAGCATGATAGTTTAGATATAAAAGTGCAAAAGAAGGACACAGAAGTTTACCTTGTTGCTCTTGGGCATCGTCTCCTTCTTCGTTTTCCTGGTAGTCGTCGTTGTACTCGTCCTGCTCCCCGGCCTCCCCCTGCTCGGAGGGGTCAGCCTCTGCCTCAGCCTCCAGGGCAGCCTTCAGCCTCTCCACCAGGTCTGCCTTCAGGCCTCTGGTGTCCAGGCCTCGGCGATGGAGCTCATCCTTTAACTCGTTGACTTTCAGTTTCTTTACGTCTAAACTCATTGTGTTTCTTGACTGTTTTTGTTAGTTGGGTGAATGGTGCTTTCCTCCTAGTGACAAAAACAGAGACGGAGGAGAGATAGTTGGACTCAGCTCGCGACCCGGGACGTAACTTTCAAACCGTTGTGTATTTACGCGGTCTCGCAACCAAACAGGATACGTAACTGTTTGGGCAAGCTAGCAGGGCTTTCGGCATTAGCCACACACAGCTAAACCCCCATTAACCACACAACACAGCCTCCAGCTACGCCTCTCCAGGGATACACACGCTTCCGTGAAGCAAATCCAGCGCAAAATGAGCTCTCGGGCTGTTTTAATTTGGCTAACACGGTAACCTTCTTAGCATAGCATCGGCTAATGTATCGACAACCGTTGCAGAAAGAGTGAGTCTAACTCATAAAATGTGCACCTTTAACGCATCACAAGAGCTGTATTTGCAATTCATGCGGCCAATGCATTGTGTGTTAAGTTTAAATAGTCGTCACGAAGCCAAATATGAATAAAAACAAAATCGAGGCCTACCTTCTTTTCACGCGAGTTGCGCGGGTAAGTCGTGTGAGAAGTCTGAAAGAACCGCTACCGCCCCCTAGCGCCAGGACCCGGAAGTTGATTATTCCTTTGCACATGCGCACATCGGCTGGGTTTCTAGTAACGTTTGGAAGCGTTTCCTTGTGATAAGGCTTGTGTTTACGCTTTGCATATTTAGACATTTTTGCATCAGGGTTTAAAGAGAGGATTCTGTTGTTGTTTTTTTATATTTCCATTTCCATTTATGACATCTAAAACAGGCCAACCTTGTAAAGTACAGCTAGTGTGTGCTGAGTAATGGTATTTTATGGTTTTATGATCAGAATACTTGACACAGATTAACAGGCAGCATATCATTTTTATTTCACACCATTCTTTTATCCCCTCTCATTGCACTTTACATGAACCAGTGTTCACAACATGAGATGTAAATTAAACAGTGATTGTGGATAGTCTAAAAAATAATAAAATGATAATGTTGGTTTTCTTTTACTTTTTTGTTGTTTTTTTGGATCAGAAAATGTATAATCAACTGTCACTTCAAACAGAGGCCAATAAATTATGAAAGCAAAGATGTTACAAATAATTAGGTGATATGCTGGAGCTGTTACAAAATATATTACCTCGAGGGTTACCATTGCCTGGTGCTGTACATCTTTCTGTACAATGACTTTTTCAATGAACTTGCAATGCCAACCATAGAAATCCACTATGAATATCATAGCAATCCCACTTTACAACTAGTTGCTCAAAACGAGAGCAAATTATAGCCCCAAATAGCACAGTGCACAGACACCCATCTCCTCCGCCCCTCAGGAGACATAGAGTAGCAAAGTAGCTATCAGGCTGTATGTATGACAGTAGGTTGCTGGTGCACTTCCCCCCTTTCACACACAGGCATACAATATGCACGACACTGAATTAATTCAGTCACTTTTGGGTGGGAGCAGGGAAGGAGAGCAGCAGCCGGTTGACCTCTCTCAGCTGGGCGCTGAGCGTCTCTGTGGTTAGCGCTAGCTCTGCTAGCTCAGTCTGTAGGTTTGTGATGGTGTCGCTCAGCTCGTCCTCCTTGCGGCGAGCGTTTGAGGCCTGCCTGCTGTACTCCAACACCATGCAGCCGCCACCGACGAGGAAGATGATCGCCTCGCCCAGCAACTCGGCGCCCAGCTCTGCGGCCGCGTCCTCGTTCAGTGGCTTGACGGTGGCGCCCCGAAAGCCCATGATCCGCATCTTTGTCCTCATCTCAATCCAGTGATAAACTGTGAGGATAAAAGCAAACAACTTGCTATTAGCACTTTAAACATGAGATGATCTACTAGAGTTAATAGATCTATATTTACTTAAGGTGTGGATATATGATATTACACACATATATATATATATATATATATATAAATAAATGTGCTAACAAAATATGTTTATTAGTTATCTGACAAATAACTTCAATCTAAACACTAAAAACAAATCATGTCTTGCGATTTTCTATTCAGTCCTTTTTTGTTTTAATTCAGATTCATAGGCCAGCCTAAAAGGATGTTGTTCATTTGTGTGAGAGCTTCACTTTTTCTAAAATAATAATAGTAATAATAATAGGGAGAGTATTGAGTAACTTTATCTCAGTTTAAACAGCATGTTGTCCAAACAGCTTAGATTGTGTTCAATAAACGAATTCAACCCCTAAATGATAAAACATTTAAGATATATCAAATACAACCCACAGCACCCAGTCACATTTATTTTAATAACCTGAATTTCACACTGAACGGGTTAGGAAAGCCTGTCCTGCCATGTCCTCACAGCAGTCTGTTCAATGACAGCCTGGACCCACCCACTCCAAGCATTCCTGGTTGCTATTGGTCGAACGGAAAGATCCGTGAACCTGATTGGATGACCGGTCCTCTAAAGCTCGCTGTCATTGGTCGCTGTAACCGAGTCAAACGTCGGGGTGACTGGTAGCTAACTGCTAGCACGTAGCGGCCGTTGGGACGGTTACTCACACTGGGCCGGCGGCAGGCAGATGTAGTTCTTAAAGAACTCGCTTCTCCGGGCACCAGCTTTTATCCGGTTCGCCACGGGCTTGCTCATCTGCCTTACTCCCAGGTAGAGGAGCTTGGCGATAGGGAAGGCACCAACAACCATCTTGACGGAAACGCTTCACCCAGTGGGGCGGGGCACGTACGTCATACGTCATGACGTTTTATGATTGACGGCGTTATTGGCAAATCCACTCACGTCCACAAATCCCAACCCTTCTGAGCTTTATAGACTAAAGGTTAATGTCCTTTTCGTTTTACACTTTTGGACACCTGATGGACTCAACCAAAAATGCTATTCTTCTCCAGTATTAAAGAAAAGTTTCCGGAAAGATCATGATAGGACCCTGGAAGATGATACTATTTCACCATATCTGTTTTTTGTTTTTTTAAGAGACATACACCCTGTTAGACAGTTAACAAGCACCCTAATAACTTAAAATAAATCAGTCTGTCTAACTAAATGAGTATATTAGATGTTTTAGCACTTCACTATAAACTGCACGAGTGACTATCGTTACATTTACATTTAATGTTGTCATGTTTACTTGGAATGGGACAGAAATTAAGCAACGTTCAAAAATAGTTTTATCCAAATTACTATAAACTGATAATTAGGCTACAACAAAAGGCGTAATCTTTGGGGAATACAAATTAGCAAGATCAGTTTGTGCAAGAGTTTGTAAGAGTTTGTGTAATAGTTTGGTTAGTGGACGGGTTTATTCAGAATAGGAGCACAAAATGAAAAGTAGCAATTTATATTCCACAAAAAGAGTCATTAGCAATGGAATAATCTGATCAGGGTTTAGACCAGGTCAAATTGATTTAATTCTTTCAATTCTGTCCAAGGGGAGCCTGAGAGATTACGTTATAACTGTAATGAATAAAAAACAGTTGAACATGAAAGCTAATAATTATATGTAGTGGATATGAAAAAGAAAGTGCAACGATTCTATACTTTTCTCTGTTGGAAACAAAGAAGATAATGACTCAAAAGGTCAGATAAAGTCACAGAACGTTAAAAGAATTGAAACAGTTTAATGGAGAAGGAAAACCGGAAGATGGCAGCAACGCAACACGTGGGAAACCAGCTGCCCAGAACCCGAAAGACGAATGAGGAGGACTATAAGGAAAGCTGAGCTGAGGATATAAGTTACTAAACAGATGCTCGAGTATTAGGCACTGAAGATCAGAAGGGGTTTTTATATTGAGCCCCTTTAAATCCATAAATGTCGTAAGAAAGCGTCAAAACATTGAAAAAGTGGAAAACGCTTAATATATATTTTTTTCTTACTGTTATTTACAGTATTTATTTAACCTGAAATAGTATCAATAAATTATGAATACATTTTTTAAAAATATTAATAATTACGATAATAAAAGTTTGTATTTAACAAATGAAATTAGGCGAGATTATAATAAAAAAAACAAGTTCTCTGTGTGAATTTTATTTTTTTTATATATATATGTATATAAAGTAGGGTGTGACTTTCATGTGGAAAAAACATTAATAGAAATGTCCAATAAATTAATGAATAACTAAAAAACAAATGTAGTTCCTCTTTTTTCCAGTGATGTCTCTACTTAATGCCCACAAACGACTTTAGCCCTTAAATTGCCAATGTAAGACATATCTTTTTCGGACCAAAACTCTGGTCACGCGTCACCCCAACGGGCCTCACATCTGGCCAGCTGCGTGAAGCCCGTTTTGGTTCCTCCTGGCTCGGGTTACGAGGGGGGCAGGACTAGGAGCACCAGATTACGCACGCACGGCGTTCCGTGCGCGGCTCTGACTCAGAGTCTGGAGCAGTCGCGGAGAACATCCCACTCCAGGAAGCCGACGGGCTCAGATCGGACCGCAGATTCCCCCCCCTCTGGATCCGGGAC